AGGGACATTTGACCTCCCCCACTAACTGCCTAAAGAATTTGACATGGTGGCTCCTTCCTGGAACAGATCTTCTATCATGATGGCTGTAAAGATAATGTAGGATAGAGGTTACAATAGGAAAGGCACCAAGCCTCTTTTATCAAAAGCTCTGTCTCTCCCTGACCACATTATCTATAGATGACCCTGAAAAGAACTGTCCTCCTGCCCTCTGAAGTCCCAGGCCACTACCCACCCCCAACAGGCTCCTCGCCTTTAGCTGCAATACTTAAGCAAGCAGCTTAGACAGAGGGATGAGTTGCTCATTTCTGAGTTTCTCCCATGTATACATGTTATTAAACTTGGTATTATTTTCTCCTGCTAACCTGTCTTATTGATTATTTGGCCAGCCATAAGAACCTTAAGGAAAAGGGCAGGGGGAGATTCTCCCTCTTCCCCCGACAGTACCATCCTTTTCCAGTGCCATGGTTTTCTCGTGTTTCCTACTGTCTAGTACATGCAAGTCATCTATATCTAGATAATAATACAAATAAAAGAGGAAATATTGCCAAGAGGAGGAAAGAGTTCAAAAGGGAAGATCCATGCCTAGATAAAAATTATTATAAAATTTAAAAAACTTTAAAGACAAAGTTTTACAAACTTATAGTATGAAAAAATGGATCACCCATGAAGAATAATGAAATTGAGTTCAGACTTCTCAACAATATCAGAAGGCGCAAGACTAGAAAGTAGTAAGGCTTCTAAATAATTGAAGAAAAAATAACCTTTAAACCGAGATCTTTTCCTATGTAGCCAGCATGTTATTTTAGAAGGGAAGATTAGTACAAGTATTCAACGCTAAAAGTCAGAAGAGTCTTTACCACACTCACTGCCAGCATCGAAGGCACTAACAGAGAAAGTATTTAAGTAAGGAGAGTAAGTCAAGAAGAACTCTTTACACATCTCTCGTCTTAAGTTTTACTTCCTCAATTTAACCTTTATTTTCCCACTTTAAACTAATAGTTTGCTAATAGTCAGTGCCAGAGTTTGAAAGTGTATCTTGGTCTGCTGTACTCCTGATATATCTCTTAAGAATGTATTTGAAAGAAACTGTGGGAGATCAAGATTTGGCCACCCTGAAATCTATCTCTTTACCTTGGTTGTTTTCTCTAGGGACATTTGACCTCCCCCACTAACTGCCTAAAGAATTTGACATGGTGGCTCCTTCCTGGAACAGATCTTCTATCATGATGGCTGTAAAGATAATGTAGAATAGAGATTACAATAGCAAAGGCACCAAGCCTCTTTTATCAAAAGCTCTGTCTCTCCCTGACCACATTATCTATAGATGACCCTGAAAAGAACTGTCCTCCTGCCCTCTGAAGTCCCAGGCCACTACCCACCCCCAACAGGCTCCTCGCCTTTAGCTGCAATACTTAAGCAAGCAGCTTAGACAGAGGGATGAGTTGCTCATTTCTGAGCTTCTCCCATGTATACGTGTTATTAAACTTGGTATTATTTTCTCCTGCTAACCTGTCTTGTTGATTATTTGGCCAGCCATAAGAACCTTAAAGAAAAGGGCAGAGGGGGATTCACCCTCTTCCCCCGACAAAACAAAAAGTGATCCTGAGAGTTTTAAAAACTCACACAATACAGCACTGTGCTGCTCATTTTTTCAAGTTTGACTCTAACAGAAGAATAACAAAATAGAAAATCTTCAATTCCATGTAAGATAATGTATAGTTCCGTGAAGTTTTCAGAGTGAAACAAACCACAGCCTATACAGTCCTACATGTTTTCCATTAAATCTGAATTTACTTAGCTTAAAGTAGAGTAATATTACTGATTGATAGTTATTCAGGAAGGAATTGGATTTAAAAATGACCAAAGGACTACAGTTTGGAACTATTTGTTCATGACTATTGTTAGTTAATTATAAAGTTTTGAAATCATATATGAAACATACAAAATCATTTCCTGGTTGAAACTCTTGAATAAACTGAGTCAATCAAATGAAAAGACACTTCTTAGAATGCAGCACAAACATGGGCAAAAAATGTTCATAAATTGTGTGAGCTGTGATAAATTGGGATAGATCCAGTGTGTATTTCACAAATGCAGTTCCCAGATGAGGCATATCAGCATCCCTTGGGAATTGTTACAAATGCAAATTTATGCATGCTAACCCTCACTTCCTCAGTCAGAAACTCTGGAGGTGGGGCTGGTAATCAGGGTTTAACAGGCTTTCCAGGTGCATTTGAAAATGACTGGAATAGATAAACCAACATTAATGTAAGAGTTCTGGATTAGGAAAATTGTTTAAGCTCATAATTTTGGTGCAATAAATTAAAGATTTTTCGTTCCCAGGAAATGAAATGAAACTAAAGGTGTTATATAAATAAACAACAAAAAATTGCACAAATACCTGATCTATTGTGAAAATTAGGTATATTAAAAGTCTTTTAGAAAACATGAGAAGACTTCAATGAAAGGAGATAAGATTGTTGAAAAGAAACAACTTTTTTGGTGATAAATAATAGAAAAAAGGAAAATATAATTTGAGTTATGTCAAAATTTTTGCCATGTATTGGCAATGACCGAGCAAAAAAAGTTTATATTTGAATATTGTTTAACAAAATCTGAACCTCCAAAATGAAAATTATTTCTCTTCAAACCAATTAATACCATGGAAAAAGACTAAATTGAATGTTGTGAAAACATAAAATTTTAATAAAATACATAACGTATCTTTTTCAAATCGAGATATAATGACATATAACATTATGTAAGTTTAAGGTGTACAACATATTGATTTGATAGACTTATATATTGCAGTATGTTTACTGCTGTTATGCACATAATTATCATTTCTTTTTGTAGTGAGAACATTTAAGATCTATTCTCTTAGCAACTTTCAAGTATATAATACAGTGTTGTTAACGATAATCACAATGCTGTGCATTAGATCCCCAGCAGTTATTCATCTTCTGATGGCAAGTTTGTGTCCTTTGATCAAATCTCCCCAATCTCCCCAACCCCTAGCCCCTGGTGACCATCATTCTACTCTGTTTCTACGAGTTCAGCTTTTTTAGATTCCACATATAAGTGAGATCATACAGTATATGTCTTTCTGTGTCTGGCTCATTTCACTTAGCATAATGCCCTCAAGGTCCATCCATGTTGTCGCCAATCACAGGATATCCTTCTTTCTCGTGGCTGAATAATATTCTACTGTATATATATAACATATCTTCTTTATCCATTCATTTGTTGAACATTTACTAAATAATTTATAGAGCTGCTGAATTTGGGCATCTGGTTAGACCTTATAATGGGCCTGTCACTATTCTTAGGACAAGCGTTAGAATTCTAGACTGGTCCTATAATACATTTCAGAACCAGTCATTACATATATTTATTGCTTCCCCTCCCACTGTATGCCTCCTCACTCTCTACATTCCAAACATGGTGGATTTCTTCAGATCACTGAAAACTGTGTGTAAATTCACATGCAGAGGTCTAACCAGGTGATTTTTTTCTCTATGTGAAACTGCTGGATTCAAATATGCTCTAGGGCTGGCCCCATGTCTTAGCGGTTAAGTGCGTGCGTTCCGCTGCTGGCGGCCGGGGTTCAGATCCTGGGTGCGCACCGATGCATTGTTTCTCCGGCCGTGCTGAAGCCTCATCCCAGATACAGCAACTAGAAGGATGTGCAGCTATGACCTACAACTATCTACTGGGGCTTTGGGGGAAAAATAAATAAACAAAATAAAAAAAATTCAAATATGCTCTAAAAGTTCATAATGTTTTTCAGGTAACCACATGAAAAATAAGTACATAGTGACACAACTCTTTCCCCCCAAATATGATGTTTCTTTCCATTGTACATACTCAAAACTTTCCCAGGACTCCCCATTAGCTAATGAAACATAATTAGATTAAGTTCTATTTAACTGTGTAAAAATTTTGAATTTTGGTTACATTATTAGATCTAGAAAGGCAGAGTTGTACTTATTCACCATTATATCACAGGTTCTAGCAGAAAGTTTGTACCTGATAGTTATCTAATTTTAAAAAATTAAAAATATTAATGAATAACTGATCAAACTGCAGAAATCATAAGAGTTATAGCTGTTGAACTAGATGAGAAAAAAACATTTTCTGGTGCAGAAATCAAAGACTAACTGAGAGACTCAGGTGTCGCTGCTGATGAGCACAAAGGGGCTGAAGGCTGGGTAATGTGAAGCTATTAGCAGAGAGGTGTCCACAAGCCAGTGGCCTGGATTCACAATTACAGTAATACAAACAGTCAAAATGGAGGAGAGACAGTAAAAGTAGACAAAGAAGCTCACCAGGATCAGCATGGTGCGTATGACTCTGGCCTCATGGGAAGTTCTGGGGCAAAGTCTGCTGCTGTGAATGTGTTGGACTCACTGCTTGTGCCTGTGCAGGACAAACACTGTGTACCCACTAGTCTGTATCATGAAACCCACACCCATAGCAACAATGGAAGATAATATAACTGCCTGTAACAAGCTGATAAATCTGTCTGGCATGAGTGAGGAGCAGGAGCCATAATTTGTTTTCACACTTACATTTTTGCTGTTTCTGGGGCCAATCACTCTCATAAGAATGCAGACATTTACCAAGAGTTGTAGGATCCAGAAAGAAAAACTATGGAAGCCAATGCATTTTGGGGATCTATTTCTGAACTCCATCCAAAAAGAGGTTCTGGGGCAAAACTCAATGGCCTGAAAGCCACTCAGAAGGCAGGTAGTGCTGAGAGAAACCCCTCTGGCCACTCTGTATAAATAGAAGACAAGCTTACACCCAACATCATCCAGGAAATATTTCAACGCAAAGGCTACCATTGTCTGTGGGATCCCTCTGAAGAAAAGAGCCAAGTTCTTGGCTAACACCAGTTGGTTAAGAATCTGATCTGTGGGTCTCATCTTGTATCCAGTGAGCAAAGTGAAGTTATAAAGACAAAGGAGGGAGGCGTTTTCCAGGATCCCAGCTCCAATCTGAGTGAGGAAGATAATTCCCATTTCCAAGTGGGCATGCCCATCACTCTCATATCTAGGAGATATTGATTTTCATTTGAGATAAAAAGAAATGGTAGAAAGATAAACAAATACAAATATGTTACCTGCTTCTGCTGAGCTGTATCTACTGCTCAATGTAACATGTTTCCCCTCTTTTGGTAACACATTTTCTCACTTTACGTGGACTTTAAGAATATGTGGTTGTGAGTGCACTGGTTATTAATTAAGGTCTTATGGTGGGATCAGTCTAAATGTCCACAGAAAGGGGGTTGTTTGAATAAACAATGCATCATTCACACAGTATATTTCTCTACAGTCACAAAACTGAGTAAAGATTATCTCTATACATGTATGAAGTTACCTCCACAGCACATTCTTAAGGGAAAAAAGGGAGATGGGGAAGAGAGTGTATAATCAGTTACAATTATTCTTTTGATTGTGAAGGAATAGATATAAAAATAAATGTAAATAAACACATGCGCACATATACATTCAATTGCATTACAAATCTATTTTCAAAGAAACTAGAAACTTGCAAGAATAATGATATAGAGGGGCAGAGATGAAACAGCATGGAGGGACAGAAATAGAAAGTAGATATAGCTGAATTTACTTTAGTTATAGTTTTGTCTATTTGACAAATATAAATATTTTACATAATTATCAAACAATATTACATCACAATGAAGTTAAAACAATCAACCAAATGTAACGGCAAAATTAAAATAAAATATATAAACCTGACTCTGTAATAAATTTGTAGTCTATCCATACAAAATATTAATACTTCAAGTTTATTTAAAAAAATAAGTTTTTACTGTATATTTCTACTGAAATATATCTATGCAAAATACCTACAAATATCTTTGAATTTTATTATATTTTCATAAAATATTGATATTAATATTTTAGTTAACAAGTAAGCATATTATATAAGTGAGAAGAGACACTTTGATCAAAAGGGGAAAAACGAAATTGAAAGGAAAAGAATTTAAGCGAAAAATATATAATTTTAAATTTGCTTGGAAGAAAAACCATTACTTTGATCTGTATTTGATTTAAACCATATATGTATAATCTCTCTCTTTCCATTAAATGGATCTACAGATAACCACCTTCTCCTGAGTAATTACCATTCCACTTACTCAGGCCGTGTTCCCCAAATGCATATTCTTATTAAAAGACAATAGTGTCTTTTTAAAAATTGCCAGTTCCAGATTTAGGGCAGGAAATTCAGTATGGAACATCTATTCAAACCAGGACACGAGGAGATTCTACCAGACGACCGGAGTCACTTTAGGATGAGGATGCCACAGGATTCAACTTGAAAAGACTCTGCTCCACAATAATGATACAAATTAAGCATCAAATAAAAGTACCTAATTGAGAGAGAGATTCCCCCTCCGCCCTGTCCATTAAGGTTCTTATTGTTGGCCAAATAATTAAAGACAGGTGAGCAGGAGAAAATAATACCAAGTTTAATAACACGTATATGCGGGAGAAACTCAGAAATGAGCAGCTCATCATTCTCTCTAAGCTGCTTGCTTAAGTATTGTAGCTAAAGGCATGGAAGGTGTTGAGCGGGTAGTGGTTTGGGATTTTAGAGGGGAAGAAGACAATTCACATGGAGATAGAAATGCAAATGTTTGTCTGACAACTCTTTTCAGGGTCACCTATAGAGAATGTGGCCAGGGAGAGACAGAAATTTTGATAAAATTTGCTTGATGCCTTTCCTATCTTTCCTATTGCAGTGTCTTATTTTACATTATACTACAGCCATCATATGATACTGGCTCCTTCCTGAAACAGATCTTCTATGTGAAATTCTTTAGGCAGTTTGGGAGGAGAAACTAAAATGTTCTTCCTGAGTCTTCTGAGTCTTTATTGTCTTCAGCTCAAAATAATCTGCATACCAGAGTGGTGCATCTTGGGGTGGCCTGACCTGAACACCACCAACAAGTATTTTAAATGTCCACATGCTCTTAATGATAGAAAGCCACAGTAGTAAAGATTTCAGAAAGTTAGTTAAGGAATTGACTATTCTGGAAGCCGAAAAATGAAGGGAAATATGAATAATTTCTCCTGTATTTTCAGTACAGACTATTTCAGGGTAACCAAGTAGAGGATGAGCAAAAGTTCTTTGTAGAAGAAATGTAAGTGAAAATGCAGAAATAGTAATGGAATATCAACATTTTGCTTCCTCTAATATAGTAACAGATGCACAGAATGATCATCAGTGATGCTCTCTCTCTCATCCCTCTCATGAAATCAACGAATCACAGGCTAGTGGGAAATTGATATCAGGGAGACGCTAACACACACGGATCTGCTGGTCAATCTTCACATCACAGACAGGGCGACAGCCTGTCATAATGGCACGCACTGTAGGCAATGAGGAGGACTCTGCACTGCCTCTGAAGTATCCTTGACAAAAAGCTGAACCTGCTTTTGATTATCTTCCAGAGCAAATCATGCATTTATTAGCAATCTGGAGAACGTGTTAGACAACATCAAAAGGCCACGATTAGCTAGCAGAATGATGGAAATTATTCTAAACAAATGATCCATTTTCTTCTTCATGAAAATGGAAAAAGCAGGAAAAAAAAGAGGAAGAGATATTAATTAAAAGAGTCCTAAAAGACAAAACAGGTAAATGCCATGTAGGTACAACACTGAGATCCTGAGTCAAATGATCTAAATTTTTTAAAAAACCTTTTTTTGGAGAAAATTCAGAAAGTGTGAACCCTGACTGTGTATTTGATGTTATTGTTATTTTTGTAGGTGTGAAAATCTTGTCCATGTTCTGCTCACGAATGAATCCCATCTTTTAGAGATACATTCACGGTTCTTTGGTTTTTGATGTAACGATATACCTGGGATTTTCTATAAATAATCCATTAGAGAAACATGGGTGGGGAAAAGATTAAATGAGAAGGGTGTGTGCTGATATTTAACTTTTGAAGCTCCTGACTCATTTATGGGGTTTATTAGGCTATTCTCTCTTTGTATATCTCACACATTTAGCTTTATAAAGCAGCTATAGCAGCTTTCATAAACTTCCTTCCATCAGTAATTTTTGGAATCTTTTGCCACTGGTGATATCTTTGTTTCACTCTAAGAGAATATATTTTTATTCAATGTTTTTCCTTGTTACAGCATTTTATTCTTTTTTTTTTTTTTTTTAAAGATTTTATTTATTTTATTTTTTCCCCCCAAAGCCCCAGTAGATAGTTGTATGTCATAGCTGCACATCCTTCTAGTTGCTGTATGTGGGACTCGGCCTCAGGATGGACGGAGAAGTGGTGCCTCGATGTGCACCCGGGATCCGAACCCGGGCCACCAGCATTGCAGCGCGCGCACTTAACCACCAAGCCACAGGGCCGGCCCAGCATTTTATTCTTATAATATTTATAAGTGTTTTCATAAATTCAGGAGCCACAGATTCAAATGAATTCTGTATCCAGAAAGACCAAAGAAAAAGACACTGAGCAATGTGGAGAAAGTAAATGCTGCCTAATATACAAGTGCTTCTAAGCTTAGCCAGTTACTCAAATGTGTTTTCAGATAAGCACATTTTCCAAAATAACAGAAGACTCTATCTTGTTATAGAAAACCTCCCAATGTTGAAAGATGGAAAATAGACAAAAAGGAAATTCTGTGTAGCACACAAAACTGCTCTATTTTGGATGAGACACTTAGATGGCCAGTGTGTTACATAAAATAAAAGCATCTTTAGGCAATGATAAAAATGCAGACGTACAAACTAAGAAAATAATAAACTCAACAACATTTTAAGGGTATACATTCCCTTCAAGAACGTGTCTTACTTTCAGAAATGCATGGATAGTTCAGTCCTGGGTGGTGAAATACAGAGATATTCTCAAGTGGATCAGGAACAAGACAACTACAGCAGCCATAACTGTACTGACTCACTAATTTCCTGTTGTGGTCATTTCATGGGGAAGGAAGAATATCATTGAGATGTCATCACTGTAAATTAAAATGTTAAGCATTCATATTGAGAGTTGATATGCTTGTTTACTGCAAAAATACTATAGAATCATATAACATGATTAGAACTAATACATAGTTTATGATACACATACAGGCTAGAAAAAATAATCAGATATCAACAGATTTCATGTCTATAAGCAATATTATCTTTAAAATAAAAAAGGAAATTATCTTACATAGGGCAATAATTTTGCAAAGTAACACTAAAATTAAATAATTGTACGTGATAATGAAGCAAAAGTGAAAATTCTTAATATATTAAGATCAAAATAAAATAGCAGCAGAGACACACTGTGGACTGAGAGAGAAAACTGAAGACTTCAATTCAATTCAAAAATATGTATCTTATGAATGTAATCCCAACCAAATAGTAATCTCTCTAAAATTCCTCTAGTAATTTCAAGGTATTTTAAAAATTAATAAAAATGAATGTAAGTTTAAATCATGCCATGAAGAGAATTTGCCCCAACAAAGATAAAGTGTATTAGCAACATCTTTCACTGACACAGAAATCTACAGTTAGTTCCATGAAACATAACAGGATGTCTATACATGCATGCCCACACACAAACACAGTCAATTCAAATTTGAATTACTTGGGAAAATTATTATATAATATTAAAATTTTTTGAGACTTTGTTAATAGAATAAAGGTAAACGTTGACTTCACACAGTAGAGAGCTTTAAAAACAAGATCTAAAAGTAAAAAATGACAAAGACCTTAGATCAAATAATTATGTATATTTTTCACATATTTGGATAGGGAGAAGCACGACCACATATGGCACAGACCAGAGTCCATTTTATTTCAAAAAAATGAAACTAAAATTAATGTTAAATCAGAATAAAATATGTAAATATGTAGAATGTAACAGAGAAAACTTGATAATCACTTCATTATTGATACTAATCAGTTGGATAAATGAAAAAAAAATGCTGGCCATATGTATGAAGAGTCAGTACTGAGAATAAGTAAAAATTTATAAAATATGTTTTCTCACAAATGATCACAAATGCAAACAAAATTAAAATTATACTCCATTCTTTTTAACTATAACATATACTAATTTGCCCAAGTTTTACTGTGGGTTGAATTCCTCTAATAAGAGGCTACATTTTTTCCTTTCCTGCCATAAACCATAATTACCCAAAGATGATTTACAAGTGGTGTTCTTTAATATAGTTTGAACATGTAAAAATGTTGCAAATCTGAGTTCAGAATACTCACAGATTTATATAATCTTGGATAGATTTATCACCCACTTCTACCTCAATGGCATTTCTTAATAGCTTCCAATTTTTTATTTTTGGCATTTAATTTAGGACTTACAGACATGAGAATTTCTTTTTTGTAATCATATTTTAGTAGTTTCCATTACATTATCAATTACGTCTTTGATTAAAAAGAGGGCAACAAGGATTAAATTTGGGGGGAAGAAACTGACTCTTCACAAACATGCACGTCAACTTGTGGAGATTCCAGTGTGGGGCAGGGGAAGAGCTGACCCCACTAGCAGTAATCCTGTGTGGTCTGTGGACATGAAATCTCAGCTCTAACAAAAATATATCCTAGAACTGGAACACTGAATGGAAGTAAGAGCAGGAGAAATGGCAAAGACTGGGAGTCATTTTGAAGGGAAATCATAAAATGAGTTTAAGTAACAAAATGCAGGCCAATAGACACAGTGTGGGAATTAACACTTTCCTTGAGCCACAGAGACCACAGTGCCGTGGTTATTGAACGCTGCAGCCCTTGAAGAACTGCCATGCTTCACAGGCAATGGCAGCCCAAAACTTCCCCTGGTCACAGGGGTTGTGTGGAGACACAGGGAGGATTTCATTAAGTGTCTTCTGCTCTCCAGAGCAAGTAGACGAACTTGCCCATCAATCAGGGTCTCTGGTTAAAATTTTTTTGTTGAAAAACAATCTTTTTTTTTTTTTTTGGTGAGGAAGATTAGCCCTGAGCTAATATCTGTTGTGAATCCTCCTCTTTTTGCTGAAGATTGACCCTGGGCTGACATCTATGCCCATCTTCCTCTACTTTAGATGTGGGGCACCTGCGACAGCATGGCATGATAAGCCATGCATAGGTCCATGCCTGGGATCTAAACCTGTGAACCCCAGGCCGCTGAAGTGGAGCACATGAACTTAACCACTATGCCACTGGGCCAGCCCCGAAAAAGAATCTGTTTATCCTAGATAAGTATGGGGGAGGTGAGGGGGCTATACTGAGGAATTTGGAGGGTTGAATGACAACAATAAGGTATTTAAATATATAATTAACTGACCAGCCAATTTATATTTTAATTTTTTTAAGTCCCTGATTATTCCATTGCATAACCTTTAGCAATATTTATTTTTATAAATGAATTGAATGCCTATAAATGGGAGAGAAAGGGAGACTTTCATTTCCCTAAATGGCCATACCATGTAAACAGCCCCTACTCATGAGAGAAAGGTGGAGACATATTAGTACAGACTTCTTTCAACCCAACAGCCTCTCCCAGCAAAAGAAATGCACGTACCAGTACCTGACACTCAGATACCAGGTCTCTGCTCAATGGCGGGGAGCTCATCTTCATTATCTTATTGCTCCTCACATGCCTGTGGTGCGAAGTTGTTAGAGTGAAGGTACTTGGTTGAGGATGTGTATTCAGGGAAAAGGCAGAGAAGACTACGAAGAGGGTACAGCCGGGAGGAGAGGGCATGTTGAGCAGGGCACCAGGCTGATGGATGAGGGTGGAGATAGGCTTCTGGTTCTCTCAGCAAACATCCTTCCAAAATATATACATGTGTGCTCCAACCCCAGAAAGCAGATATTTTACAGAGAATAGGTATTTCTGGATTTCCTAAGATAAAATACTTCTAAGAATGTTGCTTATCTGAAAAGAATTGCTACTTACCCAGTTGACATTTGCTGTCGGGACAGTGGAAGCAGGGGCAGCATCCGACCTGTTCAGCGACTGAACCTGACATAAGGGTTTGGGTTCTGTGAACTCACCTCCCTGCTGGGGAGTGGTGAACGTTTCACCTGTAAGTGCAGAAACACTGTCTGCACGGGGACTGGAGATTATCTGTGAAAAACATTTGTGAATTGTGTATATTTCTGAACACTATTAAAATTTAATAATAAAGATTGCCAACAGATGTGGTCAAATAGCAGGGAAAGACAATGGGTGGGAAATATGGGGAGAAAGGATCACAAGGCAGGTGCACAGCAGACCTTGAAATCTGTTAAAAGAGAGAAAGCAGTTGAGCAAATGACTGCTTGATTCTTTATCACTTTGAAGGTTTTTCCTCAAAATATGACTTGTCAGCAGTATAATTATAATGAGCAGTGATGTGGCATTCTTCCCTTTATTCTAATTGGGATTTGTTGAGCTTTTAGTTTCCAACAAATTTGGAAATGTTTCAGCCATTATAGATTAATTTTTTGTACCACTTTCCTTCTGGTATCGTACATATATATGACCATTTAATATGTTACTGCAAGTCAGTCATGCTGCTTTTTCTGTTTGTTGGTTTTTTTGGGGTTTTTTTGGTGAGGAAGATTCGCCCTGAGCTAACATCTGCTGCTAATCCTCCTCTGTTTGCTTGAGGAAGATTGTTCCTGAGCTAACATCTGTGCCAATCTTCCTCTATTTTGTGTGTGGGATGCCACCACAGCACGGTTTGATGAGTGGTGCGTAGGTCTGCGCCCAGGGTCCGAACCTGCAAACCCCAGGCTACTGAAGCAGAGCACACGAACTTAATCATTATGCCACCAGGCCAGCCCCACATGCTGTTTTTTTTAATTGTTTTTTCTCTCTCTCCCTCTCTGTGGTTCTTTTGTTGTAATTTCCATAGCTACATCTTCAAGTTCACTGATCATTTGTTACAAAGTGTCTCATCTGCTGTTCATCCCATGCAGTATATTTTATGCTTAAGATATATATAAATATTTATATTTATATACTTTCTCTCTCTAGCAGGAGAGGACACAGCATTGCCTCTGAAGTATCATTAACAATAAGCTGAACTTGAAATTCATCATATTTCTAGTGCTAATTGCACATTTACTAGAAAAATTTTAGAAGAATATGATAAACAATATCAGTGGAATGCCATAAGCTAACAAACTGTGGGAAATTATCTTAATAAATGGTCTGATTTTTCTTCATAAAACAATAGGAATCATAAAATAATCTGTGGGTACAGTAATCTGTTTGGATCCTTTTTCAAGAAAACCTAATATAAAATTTACTTGTAGTAATTTGAATCCTGCCTGAATATTTTTCTAAATAATCTGAAGATTTATCTATTCTAGATATTTTACATAATGGAACCAAACAAAATGTGACCTTTTGTGTCTTGCTTCTTTCACTTGGCATAATGTTTTCAAGGTTCATCCATGTTGTAGCATATATCAGTACTTCATTCCTTTTTATGGCTGACTAGTAATGTGTTGTACGTATACGCCACATTTTGTTTATCCATTCTTTGATGGACATGTGGACTATTTCTACCCTTTGTAAAACATGTACTTGTTTGAGTATCTGTTTTTACTTTTGTTTAGTATATACCTAGGAGTGGAATTAAGACACAACTAAATGTTCTCTATAAGAAACATACTTTAAATGTAAAGACTCAGATAGGTTAAAAGCAAAGAGATGGAGAATGATATAACGTGATAACATTAGTCAAAAGAAATATGGAATACCTATATTGCTTTCAGACCAAACAGACTTCAGAACAAGTAAGACTATCAGGCATAATGGGGGGGGAGTATTACAAAATGATAAAAGGGTCAATTCTCCAAGAAGATATAAAAATCTTAAATGTGTATGCACCTAACAACACAGCATCAAAATATGTGAGGCAAAAACTGATAGAATTCAAAGAAGAAACAGACAAATTCACTATTATAGTTGGATACTTCAACACTGCTTTTTTGGTAACTGGCATAATAAGCAGGCAGAAAATCAGTAAGAATATAGAAGACCTGAACAGCACTATCAAGCAATTTGATTGAATTGACCTTTACAGAATACTCCACCCAACAACAGCAGGATACATATTCTTCTCAACTTCACATGGAACATTCACTAAGATGGACCACATTGTGAGCCATGAAACAAACCTTAACAAATTTAAAAGATTTGGAATCATACAAAGTATAAACTAGAAATCAATGACAGAAAGATAGCTGTCAATTATTTTCAAATTAAACAACACACTTTTAAATAGCCCAGGGATCAAAGAATAAATATCAAGAGAAATTATAAAATATTTTGAAGTGAGTGAACAATGAAAATACAACTTAGGAAAGTTAATGAATACAGAGAAAGCAATGTATAGAGGGGAATTTATAGCATGAATGTATAACTAGAAGATCTAAAATCAACAACCTAAGCTTCCACCTCAGTAAACTAGAGAAAGAAAAGAAAATTAAGCCTAGAGTAAGCAGTAGAAACTAAAAAATAGAGCCTAAATCAATGAAGTTGAAAATAGAAATACAATAGAGAAAAGCAACAAATCCAAAAGGTGCTTTAAAAAAAAATTATGTCACTGTTAATACGACTTTTGGCTCTCAAGATTCACTGTCCAGTGTTGTCTATTAATGAATATCTGAGAACCATTGTTGCATATATTTTGTCAGGTTTTGTAGTCGTTTATGGTTAGTAGGTAAATCTGGTCCCTGTTAGTCCATCACGCTTGGAAGGAAAATCTTACCTAAGACATTTAAGTTTAGTTGTTCAAGGAAAAAAAAAAAAAAACTAGTAGAAATTAAAATATAGGAACAGTTATGATTATTATTTTTGAGAATTTTAGATACAGAAACATATAGATATGTCCACCAGTTTTTTGGTCACATGTAGTTGGGTTCCTGCAATGGGCTCTAGCCTTCTATTTCCATGAGAGGAGATGTCTGTGGGACTAACAGGACGTGTCCTCATGGAGGCTGACTCCTACTTTCAGACTATGCTCTGGATATCTAGGATGTCTGAAACATTTGACCAACTGAACCTGAAGAACATTCTTAGGGCCTTCACAGGCTTCTTCCCAGGGTACATTCTTTGAGGGCTGAAGGTGCAGGTGTGGACACACCTGGTGTATCCCTCACTGTGGGAAGAGAAGCAGACAGGCTGAGGCTATGGTTTTTCATTAGTAGTCTTGCTCTGACTCAGGAACTACCAGGGCCAGGACTGAAGAGAAATCTCCCATTCCTGAGGGCTTTATACTTGTCAGCCCTGCAGGGGAGAGCAGGGAGTGGCCGAGGTGAGATCTCTGTCCTCAAAAGCTCACATCCAGTGATTTACGTCAGACATTCCTCTGCTCCCTCCACTCAGAGGTGACCATAGTTGATTTCATTTCGAACATAGAACAAAACCGGTATGTCAAGAAATTGAGATGGAAGTGAATAGTATATAGCTGGTGTTCGCCTTTCCCCGCCAAATACAACCGACCCCGTTAAAATGTTCACGTTTACATCCTGTCTTTTTCATGATGCATTTTACTGCACTTAATTAGCAAATTGTGTGAGCACCTCCACACAAAAGTTTATATTCAGCAGCAGCTCTAAAATTTTCATGTTCTCTCCGTTCTCCAGCTGGATGTTTGGAGGAGGCAAGTCTAAGTCTTAAGACTCAGGGAAGGGCATTGGTGGATATCACGTGGGATTTCTTTCCATACAAAATATAATCACAGGGCCCGCTTCTACCTTCTGCCGTGGTTGGGCTCACCCCCTCCGCAGACATCATCTCATCCGGAGTTACAAGAGATCACAGTGCGACTGCGCAGAGCACACACCCGCTGTGACTCCCAGAGAGCGGAGCGTGCTGTCAGCCCAACTGCAAGTCCCAGAATAGTTAGCTCTAACATTTTCAATCCTGGGAATTTAACCCTGAGACCGGTGTAACTACACGTACACAGACTTATACACAAGGAAGTTCACCGGAAACCCTTTGCATCCGTGAATTTTGGATTTAATCACTGATATCCAGAGCCAAGTAGGCTAGACGCTCCTATCGCATATTTAGGATTTTTACAGTGTATGATGTCATGGATTTTCTGACAGGCATGTGAAATTAAGACGAGAAACCTCAACTAAAATGGAGTTGGGAAGGCCTGTAGGGAGCTTTCTCATAAACAGGGAGGGAGGTAGGCTTGCATCTCTGACAGGAAGGCTTTTCTACTTTACTACCCAGCAGGAGGAAGGAAGATTTCTCTCCCCTGCCTGGCAACAGCATAGCCAATGAGAGATTGGAGCAACCCAAACAATGAGAAACCTCTACACTTTGGACTCACAGTTTCTTCCAAAGGACTCTCTGTTTATTACAGCTCTTCCCAACTCCCCCTTTTCAAAGCCCTTTTTTTTGTGTTTCTGGATTTGCCTATGGTCGGCCATAGCCTGCATATGCCGAGTTGCAATTCTTCTGGTTGTTACCCAAAAGGATAAACCTGTTCTGCTGGTCAAACAACTGGTCAATTTACTTTTTAAGCTATCAGGCACACTGTGTGTCAGAGAAAACTGTAAAGCATCTATTTAACCTGCAAAATCCAAGCATATTGGCCATGCAGGGGTGGGAAGGGAAAGAGCTTATTAACTGCTTTATCTTCCCTGCTGACTGCAATAAACTGTACCCAAGGTTCAGGTATTAAAGTCAGACCAGTCACCACATCGAGTGTTGAAGAAGACACAGATATTAGGGATCTTTTACACTACTTACTGATGGTGTAATAATTAGTAAAACCACTTCGAAAAAGTTTGTCCCCGCCTTAAAAGTTCTTTCCAAAAAGAAGCTCACCCTCACCTGTACATGTATGGATGATGTACATGTACAAGATGACATGTATAAGAATGTTCACAATAGCAAAACACCTGGATACAGGTCAAGAAAGAGGATGAAAAAACGGGCGTCTCCACAAACTGGAGAATTATCTGCAGCCCCATAGTTCTCCCTTCTATGGATGCATAGACAGAATCAGAGAAACTTCACAATTTACACTGCAGAATCCCCCCCTTTCTATGATTTGGGCCAATTCTACATGGCAACGTGTGTGTTCTCAGGGGGATTGAGCCCCAATTTTCCAA